TGAAATATAAACACAACGGCAATTTTTATAAAGTAGAAAAATATGATATGACGAACATTGTAACAATAGATTCAAAAGATTGTATATTGTTCTTGTAAGGCTGCGGTTCATCTAGCACTACAAATGCTTAGTTTTATTGACCAATCAGAGAAAGAAAATCTATGCTCAAAATATTTGAAGTACCAAATGGACCACAGCCTAATTAAATAAATAATTCGCGAATGTTTTGTACGGGTCTTAAGACAATGCTACTGAAATGTAAAAAAACAAATATGTTATAATGTAATAAATTATATGTTCCTACTATATATACAATTTTGATTCTTTTGTATTCATTGTATTTTTGATACACTTGCTTAAGATAATGCGAATTATATACTTTAAGGCATATCAAAGAAGTAATGCAAATAATCCACGATATCGAGTTTCTTTGTAACATTTGTAAAATTATCAGCTAGCCGGTTTCAAGCTAGTTGGGCATGATATGCACGCGTGAAGTGGTATATCACTTGATTCGATACAAACCTGCACCCTTCTGAATGTAATTATAATCTCCGCTTGACAGTACTTCCGCGCTCGCGATACAATATATGAGATAAAACCGAAAAACTAGGCCGAGCAACAGGATACTTGCGTTTTCGTCGATACCGCCGTAGGATTTAAGAAGGAGTCTCCACCTTGCCGCATCAGTAATTTGATTACCACGATCGTCTTTTAATGGGAGGTCCACGCGATTCGTTTTCGTTTGCTCACAACGATAAGTATCAAAATGTTATCGAATCTATTATCGAAACAGATTATCGTTCTTGCTATATTGCGATATTCGGTATACTCGGAACGATGGGAGAGTGGTTTGCGCCAAAGATACGATGGATACGGAGAAGACTGGATGTTTATACCTGATGGTAATGGGCGACCCCAAGTAGCAGTATTAAAGATCTCAGACAGTGAAACGAGAGGCATATTGGATGGCTCAGAAATAGGCTACATCATCTATACTCGGTATCCAATTGCAATATTAACGTTAACTATCACGTCAATATTTCGTTATTCCTTCGATCTAGCTTCTATATTTTATATAATATTTTTAAGAGCTAATCCGAAAGAAGGCACGCGGATGACTTCAAATGATACCGCGAATCTCACTGGATCCGATTTCAAGCCTACACGAAAAACGAAATTTATAACGCACGGATGGAAATCGAGCGCCTTGAGTACCGGACTTTTGAATATGAAAGAAGGTACAATTAATTTTTTTTCCAATCGTGATTTAAGTCTTGACACATTCGTGGATAATATAATTTATATCCTTTCGAGCAGCTTTTCTCGCTCACGGCGATTACAACGTTATCCTCGTGGATTGGGAACCCTTGGCCGCGAGCACATTTTATTTGGGACCGATGCGTAATACCGTAAGAGTCGGAACTGACGCCGCCAACTTTATAGACTTCCTAGTAAAAGAGACTGGATTGAAGACGGAAGATGTTCATTTTATCGGTATGTCGTCTCGCATAATATTCTTTGTAATCACAATTTCGTTACTTTATCATTGCTTGTACAAGGTCATTCTCTCGGGGCACACGTGGCCGGGAATGCGGGCGGTGCGGTAGCTTCCGGAAAATTGAGCAGGGTGACAGGTTTAGATCCAGCGTTACCAGGATTCCACATGCTCGCATCCGAGAAAACTCGATTGGATCCCACGGATGCGGTATTTGTTGACGTCATACACTCCTGTGGTGGTGTATTAGGCTTTCTTCAACCCTTAGGGAAAGCAGACTTTTACCCCAACGCTGGTACGGCGGTTCAGCCTGGATGCTGTTGTGTTCCCGAGATAATGGGTACAATATTTCCATCATTAGCATCAGATTCTTGTAACAAGAATGTCTTATTCTCTCTATTTATTTCAGAGGCATGCAGCCATGGACGATCATACGTATATTTCACGGAAAGCATCAATTCGAAAACAGGATTATCGGCTACAAAATGCGACAGTTGGGATTCTTACATGAGAGGCAAATGTATCGATTCGCAGATAGTACTTATGGGAGAGCATGTCGACCAGACTGCTAAGGGTCTATTCTTTCTTAGAACACGATCGGAGCCGCCTTACGCGTATATGCCAGAAGTAACCAACAATAGCATATCTAAATAAAAATAATAAAGGTGCAATCACATGTCTTTTCAACATGCACATATATCTCAAAAAGATTCCCGAGCAAGAACAGCAAATATAAAATATTTGATTTTAATAAATAGTAATTACATTATTATACACATGACTGAGGTATAATAAACATAGTGACGAACCAACTATGTCCGGGATATTATTATCTTCTACCCTGCCTCGAAAGAACTTGTAAAAAGCTTTACATACCAATATCGCGTCACTCGGGCACCTGTGTTATTTCATGATTGTTAAAAAATGTACAGCACCAAAAAATACAGGAATGACTTAACGTTTAAATTGGTTTGTAGAGCAAAGTTGTAACATATTTTTTGCGATAACGATGCGTGGCAGATAAAACCATTACACTATCTTTGATACTTAAAGCATAGAGATGATTCAACATAACATGATTTGGTTCAGGCAGAAGAGTAGGCTCACACTGAAAAGATAATAACGTAATGACGTAAGAAGTTAAATTTTGCTAAAATTACTTATCTTTAACTTACGGATTATTTAACTTACGGATAATGGTGTATCCTTGTTAAGGATAACTTGCAACAAATGCGGTGGCAAGATAGGTGGCCCAGTTATCTTCTCCCAAGGTTTATGCGGTGGTATTTCTTGTCCATATTCTGTCTGAGTGCTGCTAGTAACACCTTCACTATCTTTTGCAAGAGCTTGAAATACCTCGAAATCAGATTTTCTTACCGAAACTAAATTGTTCTTAGAGCCCATGCCATTGTCTACGATTTTCTGTAATATTAAATTGACAATTTCCATGTTTAACATGTTACACATAATATACGAAATTATGTTGCACATAAAATTATTCAATTTGGAAATTTAATGCTCACTAGTCCAGGATCATGCCTCCATTCTCCATCAACGAAAAATTTGTACTGATGCTCTCCTTCTGGCAAATCAATTATTGTGACAAAATCACCATGACTCTTCACCATCGGTAATGTTTTCCATCCAGTAAAGGTCCCGCTAATATATACTTGTTTTCCTCCTCCTTCCCATTTGAAAACAGTTGGTAATACCTTACTATCCGCAACTTTTGTTCCTTCAGACACTGTATTAGACCTCGGTCGCTGTCCAAATTCTTCCCCATCCTGTTGACCACTCTATTCATATTCATATAAAATTACAATATATATGTATGTGTATGTGTATGATATGTAAATATTACTTTTGCAAAATATGACTCTTCTTCTTCATTAGAGGACTGAAATACAAGCTTTTGGCTGGGTTTTTTATCAAAGACAAATGCTTGGCCTTCTTTCCCTGGAGACGCTGGTGGATGATCCTTGCTATGTCGATGTTCTCTACTTATAGTTGTGCCGTGATGGTGGCTAACAGGCTGATTACTTCCTGCATTACCCATTATCGCATCTAAAAAATTAGAAAATGCAGAAGATATCCGATTTTATCATTTCTTTTTATTATGTTCATTTAAATTTTTCTTTTTAGCTGAATTTACATTGTTCACTGTTTACTGTCCATTATTGAAGAGAAAAAGAGGAAAGATAGTTAGAAGAGAGAATAGATAGAGGAAAGTTCAAAAAGTTTAGATAAAAGAAACAGGCCTATTATTGAAATATCAATATCAAAGGAAGCAAATTACAATATTTTGCAATATTTAAAAAATAAGCCATAAATACTTCATAGGTTAATCTAAGATTATTTAATAACAATATTATAGCCTTCTTAAAAAGAAAATTAAAAATTAAATAATAAAAGTTTAAAAAATTATTTAATGTGGCTTAACAACATAAGACTCATGTCCAACAACATTAGCAAGTGTAACGTTACTCACTTGTTTGCAATAATTTCTGCTATTACTCGAGCTACGCGTTAACGAGAAACGAATCTCGGGAATGTAAACATTCGTTGACGTTAAAGCTAGGTCGGAATATCCGGCCTCAAAAAATTCCGATGCGATTCTGTTTTTCTTTTTTTGCAGTGGCCTTGGTTTGATGATGAAGACCAACAAGGTCAGAAAATACGTTTTTATTTTTATGAACGTAGACCGTACGCGAATTGACGATCACAGCATTCTGATCGCGATTGTATACAACACACCTTCGTGTCACAAAACTTTTACCACTTAAAGTAGTTACCTAATAGCATGTAGACAACAAGATACTGCAGAAATTGGCATTATCGACAGCATTAGGTATTAATATCGCAAATAGATAAGGCTGATTCTACATTAGTTCTACATTAGATTCTACATTAGTAGCATAATCACGCAAAATCACAAGAAATTGATCTGACTAATCACAGGCCATTATTTTTCGATCGCAAAAAAAATTTCTTGCAATCTTGCGCAATTAATATAGAACCAACCTTTGGGATTGGTAACTTCTATCGTTCTTTTCATATAAATGTTGATAATGTAGATAGCTATTGACGTGTAATAATAAATTAACAATTGATTTTTGCCGAGGTGCGGCAAAATTTGCTGCGCATTATAGTCACAGCATGATAAAAAAAAATTTATCTTTTTCCGTGCAAGATAAAATATCCCGCATTGACAAGCAATTGACAACGACGCAATCACGAGTAGCAAGTGTCAAATTATTATTTGAACATTCAGATTTTGCGCGCATGCGCGCCATGATGGTTTCGCGCCGAGTTGCGACGATCGTGCGGCTGTTCGCGATCTTCATTTTTTTTCACTTACAAACAAATGTCGGAAGTGAGCTGAGGGGAATACTACGGTGATCGCTGCGCGTGTTGGTAATCGCGTTTGTAGCAATCGATGTCATCCGGCCGGTGGATGCCGATCAAAAGTTCGAACAAATCCGGCGGCCGACAAGAATACCGTGGATAGTCATGATACTTCATACCGCGACAATTCATAATCGGTGCGACGCATTCGCGTCTTTCACGTTTTAAAACGTGAATTCGTATGTAATTCGCGAGTGTATCGAGTGCCCGTGAATACCGAGCGAATGAAATGCCAGAAACGAAATTTCGACCATCAGTCATCAGTATTGTTTTAACTCGCGTTCGCAATTACAAGTGCACCGCATCGCGAAAGTTCCAAGTAGGAAGTACCAAGTACCGAGAATGTGATCGTCGTATAGCTAATTTGTTTTAAGTGTACAAAATCGCGATTGTAATTGCGTATACTATGTCGGAACTCGATCGCGCGAGTGAGTGTTTTTTTTCTTTTCGTGACCTTGAAAGGATGCAGAGAGACGTGGCAGAAAGAGCGAGACAACGACAAAGCGGCTGGTGAGTGACGAACTCATTTTACGTATTTAAATAATTAATTTTTTATTTACTCATTTATTCGACGGAAAACGAGATACATTTATTTCTCACAGATACGTTAATAATGAAGACTCGATTGCATTAACGATATTTTGGCCTAAAGTGAGACTTAAAATTTTAAATTTGTACCAAAACAAAAGCGAAACTTAAAATACTTTAATTTGCGCTAATTTTAATAAGATAAGTCCAAATAATCTTGATGCAATCGAAGTTTTAAGTAATATAAAATTTTTCATCTTGCACCGTGTTAATACCGCTTCTGGTCCGTAAGCGTTGTCGCCGTTGCATCACTAGAGTGCAGCACTGGTCAGAATTTTCGCATGCACCATTATAAAAATTAACGAAAAGTTAATAAATGAATTACGACGCTTGTTCGAACTTGCGTACGTTTCAGAAAATCATCGTGAAAGTCACTGCTGTCTTGACGCGAGGAATTCGATCAAATCAAAACGAATTCCGCTTCCCCCGCATTTTTCTACAGAATTATCGAAACGCGTTTTTCAATTCGTGAGGAATGTTGTTTATGGTAAAGTTACCGGTAAATATATCGGCTGCCGCACTTTTCCCCATCGCACACAATTTTACTCCCCCCCCCTCCCCTTCTCGTCGCTTCTCTCCCTCCTCTTCGGACGCTCAATTTCATCTCTTTCTTCCCCTCCCTCTCCCTCTCACTTTTTCTCTCGTCAACTTTTTCGCCGTTTCCCGCGCGAATTTATTATTTATAAAGGCGAAGGCACCCCGGGCGTATCTCGTCCTTCGTAGCTGGCGGCTACGCGAGAGCGCTTTATATCTCGTGGCTCGTGTTGCTCGTTCCTCGCGAGGGGTGGGCCACGAGTAAAAACGTGCCCCCGTGTATTAAATATCCTGCAATAACAGTAATTACGGTTACGGTGTTTTGCGAAATTGCGCGGCTACCTCACCGCGGCCGGGCCCGCGTATACGCGAATATGCGATCTTCTTATGGGCGGCGGATATCACGTGGACAGTATACGTCGATTCCGGAGCGAATCGGACACTCGATTCCCCCGTACCTCCGTAGTAACCGCAACCTGCTCATTTATCCTTTCCCCCCTCGTAATCGCGAAGGGAATAGACGTGACGCGCGAAAGTATCCCCCGCGTCCCCGTCTCTAATGTAATTACGTTTAAATGCACGGTGTTACTTTTTAAATGAGGAGAAATTACGATGAGGTACACAAGCCGCGCCCTCGCGTATCGAGAAGATCGCAGGTAATCGCGGAATCGTAATTTACGTCGTGCGGTTAGAAGTCGCGGTTACGGTCAAGGTGTGTGCTTTCACGAGATGCAAAAGTCGCATTATCGCGACGTTTGTCCAGCTCAATTATTTAAAATGTAAAAAGCCTCCGACTCCATTAACAGAGCGATAGGGCGCCTTTCGCCCGATGGTGATAAGTCCCGTTGATATTTCCCTTATCGAGATAGCATGGATTTCATTTAGCGCGGCATGTGCGGTGTGTATTGATTATTAGATGTATTCCTTATTTAATGATGCTGATTAGATTAGTAAAAGGCTGGGATTATCTAAAGTGGGAACATCTGTTCGTGTGCTTTCTGGCAATTGCGCGTTCGTTACGTTCCGCACGCTTTGCGGGATTAATTCTTATCTCGAGTCTCGATGGGCAGTCGTATTTGTTTGGCCGGCAACTCGGGAAATACGCATATATGATTACGTTAAAATCGCGATAGTAATTCGAAATGTGATATTATTAATTAGACACCTGGGACCTGGAGACACTTACTTCAGAAATAAACTATGGAATTTTAAATTAAAAAATAATTCAGCAAAATATGCGTATTACATCGTCGATATTAAATTATGTATTATTTTTTACGAATTAAATTCTGCAACGATATCGCTTGCTTCGCCTTTTGTTTGTATCAACTTTTTTCTTTTTATCAAAGGCATAGTTAACATTTTTATATGTACTATTTATCAAAGTTAAATTAGATTAAATATATTCATTAAGAGCATTAAGAGATCATTATCGTTATACGAGTCGCAAGACATCTTCAAAATGAAATTGGTTTTCATTCACTTTTGACTGTGTTTTAATTGCACATTAATGAAATCGATCGACTTTGCTATGTATCGGACTGGCGGAGGAGTCGGTATAAATTCGTGACGGGCTCCGAAAGTCGTCTAGGCCAGATGTCGAGCGTTCAAGATAAAAAATACCAAAGCGTATTCGAAGAGAGAAAAAAAAGGTGGTCCAAGACGGGAGGGTGGCGGGGGAAAAGGATCGGCGAGAGGCGGTGTGTGCATGCGCTTAATCGATAATCACCGGCAAGTGGTTCGTCCGAAAGGGTGCGGTGGATACATCTGCGAGGTATCGATCAGCGCCGCGTACAAAGGCCGATCCATC